CGGTGGCAGAGTTTCAACGGATCCAGAAATACGTCATCGATGGCCGCAGTAATGGTTAAATCCAAACGCTTTAATCTGCAATAAAATCGCAACGAATCCAATGATTGATTATTTAGTCGACGGAAGTGAACGCCTAAAGTCAATGAGAATCGTTTCAATTGCCGACACTTCAGACCAATTGCTCGCAAAGACTCGTTCAGTGAGTTCTGACCGTCAATTAGCTTCACATCGAGTGTCAAATCACGTAATTGTGGTAATCGTGACAACTCTTCGCCCATTTCGGTCCAACTCTCGTGAGGTTCGTATTTATGATCAATGATTGTAACACTTCTTAGGGTCTGATTCTGGGCCACAAATGCCGACAACAGTTCGTTAGTATCGGATATATTGTGTGAAAACTCAATTCTCTTCAAATTCTTCACTAATAGCTCCTTAAAAGTGTCGCCAAAGACATCGCATAACGTGTGGACCCGTAGTCGAGACAATCGGTGGCAATGAGTGAGTGATTGTCTCGTATTTAACGAAATTCTGCCGATTCTTGTGACCAGTGGTCCGAACTTTGGCCACAATTTATCGGTATTTCTGTTTAAATTGCAGTAAATGTGTCGCAAATTGTCCCGAAATATGGCCAACACTTTCCGCAACTGCTTCTGATTTCTTTTGCTTATTCCTCTGCAGTCAATGGTGTGAATGTGTGGACACTTGCGGCCGATTGTGGCCAACATTTGCATGTCATTGATGTCAGTCCGCGATCTCTTCACATACGGGTCGTGAAGAGTGATGTCCACAACACTCTCGAAGATAGTCCTCTGGAACTGTTTGGACACACATTCGCAGTCAAACCGATCTTCGAGTGAGAGGTACGACAGTATGTGTCCACACAAATCATCACCGAATCTGTCCATTGAGTTCTTCGCGCAGAACCGCCGCTAAAATGTGAGACAAAAAAGTCAATTAAAACTCAATAAACACTCAATTGTTTTGTCACTCAATACCTGTTGTATGTCTTCGTCTTCGCCGTCATCTGTGGTGACGAGTGATGTCTTCATTGGTGTCATCTCTTGTGTCATATGTTGTGATCAAATGAAGCGATTGTTTGTATGAATGCTTTGATTGTTAACTCATTTAAAGTATTTTTGTTATGAAATGTAAACAAAAGTCAATATTTCATCACTTGTTTTGTGGGCCAAAACTTTTGCCACTCATTACAAGTGATGCCATAAATAACGTGATAATTACGGCACAGATATGCAAACATTCATAACTTTTAGAAAATTACTTAAAAGTAAAATAAATATTTAATTAATTTATTAAATTAGTTATAATTAATATATTTGTTTGAATAACAGAATAAATAATAGTAAATATTTGTCTATAGGAGAATGGGTTAACTGTTAACACTATTGATGCCAGTATTATGTGTTTGTTAACTGCTTTTGTTATTCAATTCAAATTGAATAAAAAGTTTTAAACTTCAAAATAAGCGCAAAGTTTTGCAATTAATTTTTATACCCTTTTTATCATTGATTTTATAAATTGCAGTAAAATATGTAATAATTAATCACTAATATTACTAATAAATAAAACGTTTGCTATAAATCTTGGTTTTTATTGAATGAGACTTTTGTGAAATAAATACTTTTCATGAAAAACTAATCAAACATTTGTGCGAAAAGATTGAAATGAAATGACAATCAATTGGGAAACTCTGAGATGTAGTGAATGAACGGATCGTTTGGGCCGAAGACATATCCCGGCCAACGCATGATATACCGCAGTGGAGGACGTCTGGCCTCTTCGAGCATCACTTCCAGCCATACATTGTTTGTAATGGCATTCAAATCAATTGAAAACTGGTTCTCTTTGGCCAACACTTGCTGATAGTTGAAGACTAGAAATGCCTTCAGCGCCGACACGAACTCATCGGTCGGACCGCTGTTTCCGTAGCCAACTCTGGCCACAAACAACACGTTTTCCACAGTCAACAGTGCGGCCAATCGGGTGCCAATCGTTTCCCTCAGACCACGGATCCGATACTTGTCGGCCAACTCAGCGATTTCGTCCACCGTCTCGATTGTGATCATTGTCTCCAAGTGTTGACCGATGGCGTCGACCAAAGGGATCACACGGTAATAGTCGGCGCAGTGGACGACATCACCGATCAGTTTCAGATCACTGGCATCCGTGAGAAACAATCTTTGAGTGTACATAAAGAGAACCAATGTTACGAAGGCAGCGGCAGTCGTGTGTGTAATTTGGATCTCTTTGGCCGTCGACTCCGAGTATTGTCCCGAAAACATGGCGTCAAAGACATCACTCTTGAGCCCTAAGACTGCTTTGATTGCGGGCACTCTCTGGCCATCGATGATGAATACGACATCACTCTTGGATTCGTTCATAAAGTGCTTCATTTCGGGAAACCTCTCGTCTTCGGTGTCACCGATGGATGTCTTTCTCCTCTTTGCCTTTGACTGTAATTTAAAACAATTAGTAAATGAGTTGATAAACGAATGGTGGATATCATTACGTGATTGTCTTGATCTTGGGATCCACTGTCTGTGTTGTCTGCCATTTGGATTCAGTTGATTACAAGACTGTCTTCAAAGTGACAGTTAGTCTGAAAACTATTTCACAATTAATAAAACAATTGAAAATTTAAATTCAGATAAAACACGATATAAATTACACAACAATACCATTGGTTTGCGATTTAATTATATAATTCATAGCAATTGGTGGTCATTTTGTGGATCAGTTTGTATTCACATTTTTATCTAAACATTAATATTAAAAAATAAATTAATTACAAAAACGTTTTATCGAAAAGTTAAACATTTATTAATTAATTGAATGTATAATTGAAAATTAAATTACATATGAAAATAAAATACTATAAATATAGCCATAAATTATAATTAAACTGTTTATATAACAATTTTAAACAAAATAAAGTTGTCTTTCAATCGCTTCAAGTATTTATACCATTTTTACATCAATAAAACTTTAAGACATTATTTCTACGGATTTCAATGGTCTTCAGCTTAAGACTTCTGGTCAAAAAATCTTCGCACATTATCCATGAAATGATTGGCCAAAAGGTTACGAGTAATCGCAGAGCCAATGAATTGTCTGCATTCAAACGCTAATGTCTGCAGCGCTGGAAGTCTTGAGATGTGATCCAAACACTCGTCAGTCATATCATAAGTTTTAATGAATAAGTATTGAAATTGTGGCCAATTTTGTTACCTCATCTGATACTTCGGCTAAATCTAGATACATGTTATTGTTAATTTCCTAGTATTTTTTAAAATGACAGTAATGTTTATATAACAGATCAAAATGCCATTACATTTTTATGGGCTAAACATTACATTTCAAAATTGTCTACAAAAATGCATTACATTTTGTAACATTTCACTGCAAAACATTACACTTAGGGACGCCTTAACTGAATGGTATGTAAGAGACAAAAGACGAGTTGCAAACACTCATTCAATTCTAACTGTTTTTGCTTTCACGGCATTTATAATTAAATTAATTCAATTCTAATAGTTATTTGAAATCATTTGATTGTCAAAAATGTTAAACAAGTTTGAAACAGGTATATGTTTTGCTAAATGCTTTTGTTTTATATACAATTAATTTATGTATTATTAATTTAATTTGAAGTAAAATAATATAAATCATTTTATGGCAGATAATGAAGTTAATCTAACAATGCCTGGACAAGACATTGCAAATGATGGCCGCCAATGGATACACACTATTTGGTCGTCTGTAAAGACAGTCACGATTTGGTTGGGAAAGTGTATCACAAAAGCCCTTATTATTGAATGCGTTCAACAATTGTTTGAATGATACGAATATTCTTATTACAAGAATATTGATAGAATTGTTTACTTTGAAGTCATGTAAAGTTTATATTAATAATAAAATAAATTAAAATTTGAATTAAAGAATATTAATTTCATTATAATACAAAATTTATATACTGTTGGAGAGAGTGTTTAGTAAAAAATACTGTAATGTGCAAAAGTGGCAATGTTTGTATTTAAATATGTTATGACGACAATTTTGAAATTAATCGCTACATTACTTATTATTTGATGATTTCACACATTGGATCACATGTGATACAAAGTCGAGGGTCTGCTGTCATTGTATGTATTGAATGCTATATACGATATAGTAATCAATTACAGTGTAAAGTTTGTAATGTAATCTCTGTAATGTAATGTTTGTAATGTAATGTTTGTAATGTAATGCTTGTAATGGTTGTAAATATTGATATATTTCATTGTAGTAAAAACCTGTAAACATATGATTTTACTAGTAATACACTTTTGACTTCATGCGTGTAATTTTATGTAATTTTTAATACTTTTAAACAAGCGTTTAAGTTGTTATCCGTTCAGTTATATTTACCATAGTTTTTTGAAACAATTGTCAACATTAAATATTGTGAACTAACTAAAGTTGTTAAATAATAGTATTTATGTCTCATAAGCCTTCGTTAACTATCTAAGCATGTCTGATTATTTAGACTTGAATGAACTTTTTGTTGATGATATTCAAATAAATAATGTGAACGCATCTAATATGAGTGAAGTGTCAAATACTGGTCAGCCATCACAACCAACGGATAAGTGTTACGCTTGTGGTAGACCAGAGATTGAAGGTATTATAAATAAATTAAAGTAATTTGAATAATGTTTTTATGAGATCAACCACAATAAAAATACAGATCACACAGCGATATTATACGTTTACCACAATTAGGGAAATGCATAAAAAATTTACAAATATTTCCATACTTTTGTTAGAATACTTTTACTTTTTAACCACATTTCATATATGAAGAATGTGGTTTGTTGGATCGTTCGGCCCCCTCCCCTCCCCCGGCGCCCCGCTATATGTGATTTATCACGGACATACAGCTTAAATCTATGGAGAATTAACTTGGGATTACAACCTAAGTATATGGCTATACTTTAACATGGGTAATTCTAACAATAGAAAGCCCACTTGTGCCAACCTTATTTTTTTAAATGAAATGTATGTTTCTGGTAGTATTAAGCATTAGAAATAGTGTTAGGTACATTGTTTGGGCATAGAAACCACCTGGGAGGCGTGAAAGCGGGTTCAGTATTGTATACAACACATTACATAGCGTATGAATTAGTACAGGTAAAGCATTAATGGCATTGACCGTTATGAATTTATCAACAGCACATAAAGTTAATGCTTTATTCAATATTGTATGCAATATTGAACCCTTTCACGCCTCCCAGAGGGGTAATATGCCCAAACAGTGAGTGATAAATATGTCAATAGTTGTCAATGAATTTTGTGTTATAAAGAGATTGTAATAAAGTTATATTACTATAATATAGATGTATTATAAGTCTATTTATTGAAATAATAAAATATAAAGAATAAATAAAGGTTTTTATACGATATATTCATTAAACAAAAATTTACAGGGAATTTAAAGGGAATCCCCGGCGTTTCCCTGTTAGCCTCAACAGGGCAGGGCAGAAATTCCCTCTAAGTAAAAATCACAGAGAACAGGGCAGGGAAATGAAAATTGAAAAAAGTTGCATGTATAATTAGTCCCATTAACTTACCCATGTTATCCATATGTAATAAATTTAGCTCTAATTACATAGTTAACATTTATTAATCTCATACGATCAAGTTTATCTATGGAATTATTATTAGTCCAATAGATTTATAATTGTTCATAGACTAAGTATTGCCTATTTTATTCTTATGCCATAGACTTAGCATTACCGATGTTACCCTATGCCATTGACTTATGCTGTAATCCTATGTTAATTCCCCATAGACTCAAGAAACTCATGTTAAAGTATAGCCATGGTTTTACTTCAATCCAGTATTATATCCCATAGAATGGGGGCCATGGGAATGGGGGGGGGCCAAACGATAATATAAATCACATTCTTCATATATGCAATATAGTAGGGATTTTACGTTATAATTAAATTTTTAGATTTTTAGATGTTTAATTAAAACAAGGATCACACAGCGATGCTATACGTTAACCACTATTCGAGTGATGTTTAAAGAATAGATTAGCATTATCTACACATTCAATAAGAGTCCATAGGATAAGCACTCCCCCATAGACTAAGCATTGTCCATAGACTTAACATTAGTCCATAGGATTAGTATTAGTCTAATAGACTCATCATTGTCCATAGACTTAGCATTACCCATGTTATCCCTATGTCATAGACTT